CACTTGACTCTTTTTAAATCCAGTCCTTGTACCTGACCATTTTCAGAGTCGTGCTTTTTTGTTGTTATTGTGTTATTGTTTGTTTTGTTTTTTGAGCGTTTCTACTCTGAATCATTCAAGCATAAAAGGGCTGGAAGGGTGAACCAGTGGTGTGTGTGTGTGTGTGTGTGTGTGTGTGTGTGTGACTGTGTGTGTGTGTGTGTGTGTGTGTGTGTGTGTGTGTGTGTTTTTCCTATTCAGGGTTATTTTTTAAACCGTTTCCTCCTTTGTGTGCACTTTTGTGCACGGATGAGGCAGAGTTTGTTTGTGTGCATGTATTTGGCTACTTGTGGATGCAGGTGAGCAGTTTCTTACTTGCAGTGTGCTTGTGCGCCCTTTCACTGTGATTTTAATTTGTCTGTGTGTGTTTACATTCATGGGTGCCCACTGCATGCTCAGAGTCTAAATAGAGCAGTGTTTGTCATGAGCCATGAGAATAGTCATATTGTTGAGCAATCAGAACAAAAAGCCCTTGGTCTGAGCTCAGAGCAGCGTGTGATGACACACTGTGTCACATGTACATGTCTGTGTGTGTTGTGGGGGTTTTTTGGGTGGGTTTTTTTTTTTTTCCGTTTGGTTACAAGCGTGCTATAGAAGGTTGGGTTATGGTTCAAAGATTTGGTAGGTCTCTACTTCAAAGGTCATGTAAGTTAATAACACAGCGAGTGTGGAAGTGTGGCAGGGTGTGTGTTAAGACAGTGTAATGACAGCAGCAGGATGAGAGGTGGAGATGACACTTTGGAAGATAAGAGGTCACTTGTGGTCTCAGCCTTTTTATTATGCACTGCTTTCTGAAAATCTTGTGAATGCCATAACTCAAGATGGAAGTCATCTAGGATCTTCAAATATATATCATACGTGCATCTATTAGTAGGCTGAGGGGCAGCACTGGTGCCTGCCAGTATTTTTGTATTTATTGCTCTTGATGTGTTTTATTCTTGTTGTTGGGCTTAACAAGCACCTGAGTGCAAAATACAATTTCACCTCATGCGAATATTTGCTGGAATGACAATAAGAGCCTTTAAATAAGTATTGGAATAGTTAAATCCAGTTAAGTGGCAGAAATGGTTTTGCTTTTTGACTTTTCTCTAACAGACAAAAGGATCAAAATATTACAGACTGTAAAAATACTGCTGCTCAGTACCCCAGCACCACCCACTATGACCTCAGTAAAACCACAAGTAGAATTGTTGCGGCAGGGAAGGCGGACGCACCTGCACGGCATCACAGTCACGCCTCGCCAGCTTGGTGTAGGGTCCTGTCATGTTGTCTTTGTGGGTATGTGTGGCTGGCAGCTAGGGAGCTGCAGCCGTGGAAGTGTGCTAGAACGCAACCGTAAAAAAAATATGTTGGAGAATGCAGAATTGTGGTCACGCCATGCCTCATTCCTGCCACAGTTGCCTTTTTCACAATGTTGACAAAAAAAAATGACAATGTAGGAGATTCATTTCAGAATTGACGGCAGGTCTGTTAGATTGGTTTGGATGCATTAACTGGGAATTATATTTTTGCATTAATGGTATGCTGCAGGTATGTTGTAGCCCAACCCGGCAAAAACCATGTTTGTCTTCTATCTGAAAATGAAACTCTGTTCAAACTGAGATGAAATTTTAGTTGTGTGAGGGTCCAACGAGTCCTCTAGACTCAGTTTATGCAAAACCTGTGTTTAAAAAGTGTAAATATCAGTAAAACCATAAGTCAATGCTTTACTGTAGGCTGGGACACAGCTTATTTGAACCCAATATGTAACTGATACGATACAGGGACAACATAGTATATTTTTAAACTGTTATTTTTATTTGAAAAAATGAATTCACATCTATGATCCAGACATCATCTCACAGTAAAACATGCAGACTATTTAACTTCACAATGGTTAAATGCAGCTTTGTTTGTTTTGTACACCTTGAATTAAAGGATGTAGTTTCTAGGGTTAATTTGCCCCAACAACAAACTGAAACGCTGAGCAGAAAGTTGCTGAAAGCTGTCGACTGCTCCACAGAACTTCGTAGCCTGTGGTAGTTTGAAACATTTCAGCGGTTTAGTATTTATTTTTAAGATACAGTATCCAACACTATTTCTAGAGCAGGTTGATTTTACATGCACGTTTTTGTTTGCTTATATTTTCCAGGATCTGCTTCACCTCACAGAGTATGACCTCTTGGTGCTTGGAGTCCACAATCACCTCCACCGCCTGCACCTTCTTACTTCTCTACGCCTCCTTCAAGAGCGAGAGAGGAGGAGAGGTACTCTTGCACTCCAACACGCTGCCGGATGCCTAAACACTTTTTATCTTACCTGATCTTTTCCATCAAGTTGTTGATTCTGGATCTGTGTTTGATTTGATTCCTGGTGTGCCCAGCGACTAGACAGAGACAGAAGCATTAGTGTCATGTAAAGACTTGCTTGTGCCTGGGGGTCGCTGGTGGAGGGGGTTATCTTACTCA